GCTGACCTACACATGTGTGTTGATTGTATAGGATGGTGCGAGTGGTCTTGGCGATGTTCCTACTGTTCGCCACTTGATGATGATGCTTTTTCTGCCTATCACCGCATTCTTTCAAGGCGAGTGGCAGATAGGGACCGTCGGAGGCCTTGCGAGGGTCCCTCATTACCCAAGCATTCTAAGAAAGATCGCCCATTGTTGATCTTTGCCATTGTCTGATGAAGATTTCTTGGAAGCAGCATCGGATTCGTATCTTAGTGAGAAATTACGTCGTCTGTTTCGTCCGCAAACTTCCAGTCCTGTTTTGAGACAGTTGGATTCTCCCCCTCAAGTGCTGATACTCTACACATCCCCATCGCAGTCCAGGACGATAACACTTGTCACTATTTCACAGGCTCCGTTTACAATGATGAGTATGCCTGCTGTCAACATGCCCTTGTTTGCTAGCTCTCAAACTTCGTTATCTACAGTGACTGGTTCTACTGCGAGTTTTCCATCAACAATTCTTCCAACTTTGTCGTTGATTCCACAGTCTACAATTTCCACCGGTGCGCCGCTTGGTGTTCAAGTTACACTTCCTGGTTCAGCAGTGTGTATGTACAGACAGAGCGTTCACTCCAGTGTGGCGCTTTCATTCAGTTCGTCGCTTCCAAGCGCCCCTTGGGTTTTGATTGGTTCGACTCTACACGCTAATAGGCCACTTCAGCCCAGTGCGGTGCTTTGTCCCAATGCGCCACTTTCGTTCAATCCTATGTTGTCTACCAGTGCCCCGCCCGTATCCAGAGCGCCGCTTTCTTACAATCAGTGTCTATTTTACTTTTCAGATGAAGTGGGCCATGGGCCCATTGGTAATGAAACTAGTGGGACATTTGCCATTGTAGGTGGGTCATCAGAAAAAACAAGGGAGACAGTCATTTTTTAGTACCTAGTGTCAATGGCGCAAGGGCGTAGTCTATAATAGACTCTGTCCAGTGCGTTGCTCCCTGTTACACCGCTTCCATCCAGTGCGGCGCTTCCAGTTACTGCAAAGTTTCCTTCAACGTTCTACCCCAGTGCGTTGCTTCAACCTACCTCCCAGGCTACTGCACCATTTCCCGTGGGTTCGGCGCTTACCTCCAGTGTGCCGCTATTGTGAGAGCGGTGGCTTCGGCGTTAGGTCGGGACCCCCTCCTGGGTACTGTTACGCAACCTACTGGTTATGAGCCTACATTGGGTCCCTCCATGGATGACGTTGTTCCCTCTGCCACGCCTTCTCCCACATCACATTGTTTGTCCACGTCGGATATGAGTGTAGATGCGGTTGTTGGCCTGGTGACCTGGATAGCAGACACCCTCATATTACCCAGAAGTAGATCACCTTCGGACCTCCTTTCGTCCTTTGATATGCGCCAGGGGGATTTCGGATGAGGCGCCGGTTAAATCACGTTCCCGCCTCGGCCATGCATCACCCAGCTTGCTGTTTATTTGGATGAGGCGTTCAACAATCTACGAAAGGTGAAGGATGGCTTTGCGGCGCCGCGGGACTTTCCGCCCTCAGTCCTGCCTGTAGTAGATTCTCCGAACCCCAAACACACACACACACACACACACACACACACACACACACACACACACACACACACACACACACACACAGAGAGAGAGAGATCCGGGGTCCTGCTCTCCCATATACCTGGTGCCGAAGAAAGACTCGGACAAGCTCCGTTTGGAATTTCTTCGGCCCCGTGGCTATTCACACGCATTATGAAGCCCATCACGAGGTTCCTTCATCGAAAGGGAATCATCTTTGAGGCATTCATCGACGATTGCATTCAGGCACAGACTGATCAACACCTGTTGCTTCGTCATATGACCTTCACGATTCAGCTACTTCACCGATTAGGTTGACTCGTGAATGTGCGGAAATCGGAACTAGTCCCCACATGCCATCGGGGCAGTGATCGACACCAGTCTCAACAGACTCTTTGTTTCAAGAGATCAGTTCAACAAAATTCAACGGCTGGTTCCCCTCGCGCTCTTGCGAACCAGACTCTTCGTCAGTGGCAGGAGCTTCTGGGTTTCTTAATGTCAGCCCAGGCTTTGACTCTCGGGACAGCTTCAACTTCGGCCTCTCCAGTTGTTTCTGTGTCCGCACATCCGCAGGTCTTTCAGACTCTTTGCCTCCCGATGTTGAGCCCGACAGTGGATCTCTTAGCAACTTGCTTCAACACTCAGCTTCCGAAGTTTGTGTCACGGATCACGGATCCTCTGGCCTGGGCACAGGACACCCTAGCCATTCCTTGGGAAGACTGAAACGCATATGCGTTTCTACTAGTGGGGCTCCTTTCACGCGTACTCCTCAAGCTACGCATGATGAGCGGATGACACTACTCGCCGGCCAGAAGTTGATTCGTAGATCTGCCAGAAATGGCCCACCCAAAGCCCCGTACCACTTCCTGACCGCACCGACCTTTTGGTTCAACCTCACTCGGACCAACTGCATTGGTCGTTGCTCACACTCCATCTACATGCTTGGCTTGGCGCATCTACATAAATCGTTGATTGCCAAGGGGTATTCCACATGTGTTGCTATGGTGATTACCACAGCGCACCATACTTCCACCTGGTCACTGTATGATGATAAATGGAAGGGTTTGATGATAAAAATACAGTTTTGACAACAATGGACAGGCGACGACTCAACAATGGACAGATAGAGAAACAATAGCACTTCCCTGACCAGTTGATGTGATGGCAGACACGGCCAAGGGGGATTAATAATTAAGGTTATGAATGTCTTATACAATAATTAATGGGCTGACAAGTCAATGTAGAATGCGGTAGTGATAAGAATACAGGTTAACGTCATATATATATTACAATAAAGTCTCACATGTCTGGACAACAGAGTTTTTGGTCTTTAGAAATATTTGGATGATGCCTGTCCTGGATTAGTCACTATAACACTCCTACGACAGCGTCGCCTCAGATGGTAGCTGAGTATATCCACCATCTTCTTACTTCTAAGAAGCTGAAGGGCTCAACTTTAGCCACATATTTTGCCGTGTTTAACACAGTTATTGCCACGGCAACGGGTGTAGAGGTGTCGACTGTCCCTGAGGTCCAGTCTCTCCTGCGATCTTACAAGGTTGCTGATCAGTCACAGAAGTTCCGGCCACCAGCCTGGGACCTTGCCGTGGATCTTAGACATCTCACATCAGAGGAATACGAACCTCTGGTGGAGAAGGATTTCGAGTAGGTCACGTTTAAGGCTTTCTTCCTCCTAAAATGCCACTCAAAGAAGTCTTTCTTACTCCTGGCTCTTGCGACTGCTGCCCGCATCTCCAAGCTTCACGCACTGGATGTCACCTGGGTGCGCTTCGAGAGGACCAGACATGCCAAAATCTTCCTTGGTTTGAGGTGGGATTTTGTCACCAAAAAACAGTTGCCTGGACAGCTGAATAGACTATTTGCTATTCCGCCGCTGTGTACTATTTTGGGCCCAGACGACACCGAGGATCTCTCCCTATGTCCTGTCCGGACTTAACGGGTCTATTTAGCTGCCTCCAAGGAACGTCGTAGGTTACGCAAAAGACTGTTTATTCCTCTGTCAACTGCCTCATCTACAGAGGTCTCTCACACCAGACTGGCATCCTGGATGCGATCCACCATCCTTCGTGCCTACACCTACGCTGAACCTTCCTACGCTCACCTACTACGGCCAACCCTCATGAGACGAGAGCCTTGGCCTCTATGATGGCTGTTCCCTTCACGCCTTCATGGAGGGTTGTTTTTGGAGATTGGACACGGTCTTCGCCTCACCCTACCTCCAGGATATGTCTGTCACTGATGTGGAAGGTCTTCACCAACTGGGTCCTTTGGTTGTGGCGCAGCAGTTGTTGTCAGCTCGCAAACGTAGATAAGATGCAGTTCCTGCTTCGCGTTGGTCTTGCGTTCTGTACATCAAAAAGAGATATTGATCTTATGTTTTTCTTGGTATTGTTTTTCCTTAGACTTAGACCACCTCACCTAGCTTGACCTAGGGCCTGGTAGTACTGTCATGCCCATGTCTTGATAGACTGTGAGGCCAGACTTGTACTTAAGGCAGAGGTAATCGACACTCCACTTGTTGAACTCTACTCTCTGAGCAATTACGTCAGCGAAGTGTTGATTTTTATTTCTGAAGTCCTTTCTCACCTTTGGTAAGGTGGTGGATTAGTACTGAACGTTAAACGAGTTGAGCACTGGGCTGTTCCCTCTTTCACCGCCTTCCAGCGTGTGTCTGTGGGGGATGGTTTCGAAGCAGGGGCTGGCCAGATTAAGGTCTCCGACTTTAATTCACTGGGACTTCCTGATAAATCGCGGGGAGGCGGGGTCAACTTGCCAAACTGCGTCCTTGTGCATGTCAAAAGTTGCGGCTGAAAACCATATTATTTCAGGACCGTCCACTCCAAGAGTTTTTGTGCTGTGTAAGCCAAGTGGTTATCACACAGAAGCAACCCATCACAAGTTCAGAGTCAGCACATCGGGAGTTGGTGCTTTCTCTCGGCCTCCTTTTGTTGACACAGGGTAATCTGCGGCCCAACAGCCAACCGTGGGATAGTGCATACTGTGAGATAGGATTAGTTTTAAAAATTCGAAATTTTAACTATAAATTGTATATTTACTTGTCCTATCTCACACGATGGATTCCCACCCGACCTTCCCCGCATCACAGATAACTGGAAGCTCCAAGATGAGAATGACAGTAGTGGGACATCATGTGACCATCTGAGCTCTTAGCACGCTTACAGAGATGATTGACAGGTCCAGCAATTGGAGTGGGGGGAGAGGTCAGGTGGGACAGAGGCAGAAGATTTGATTCAACTTAGCCTACAGCACGTTTCCACGACTTGGTCGAAGAAGAGAGAGAAGTACATACCGTGAGATAGGAAAAGTTCCAATTTTTCAAATAATATTTGTCTTGTTGATGCAAATGTAGTAAAGATCTGCCATGTGTAAATTATGACATTTGAACGTTTCAGTCAACATTCCACTGCAGCCAGAGTGGCTGTTTCAGAGGCCGTCTTTGACCTTGGACTTCATGGTGGGAGTGGATGGACCCACTGATCACGTGAGTACTGAACATAATCTCGAGAACCTGTTTTTTTTTCAAACGATTTCACACTATCCACATGATTTAAGGTTAATCCTGCAGTAAAACTTTTCTGTCACACTTCTGTGTTCTTTCCAACTAATTGAGCAGTCCATCCTTGATGTACCCTTGCTGAATGGCCAGGTACTCACTCTTCTCCACAGTGTATTCCATCTTCTCCACAGTGTATTCCATCTTCTCCACAGTGTATTCCATCTTCTCCACAGTGTATTCCATCTTCTCCACAGTGTATTCACAGTGTATTCCATCTTCTCCACAGTGTATTCCATCTTCTCCACAGTGTATTTCATCTTCTCCATGGTGTATTCCATCTTCTCCACAGTGTATTCCATCTTCTCCACAGTGTATTCCATCTTCTCCACAGTGTATTGCATCTTCTCCACAGTGTATTCCATCTTCTCCACAGTGTATTCCATCTTCTCCACAGTGTATTCCATCTTCCCCACAGTGTATTCCATCTTCTCCACAGTGTATTCCATCTTCTCCACAGTGTATTCACAGTGTATTCCATCTTCTCCACAGTGTATTCACAGTGTATTTCATCTTCTCCACAGTGTATTCCATCTTCTCCACAGTGTATTCCATCTTCTCCACAGTGTATTCCATCTTCTCCACAGTGTATTCCATCTTCTCCACAGTGTATTCACAGTGTATTCCATCTTCTCCACAGTGTATTCCATCTTCTCCACAGTGTATTCCATCTTCCCCACAGTGTATTCCATCTTCTCCACAGTGTATTCCATCTTCCCACTCGTGTTTCAGAATATCGTAGCTCTGGGAACTTTGCCAGTAGCACTTCAGGAACAAGCCATCTTGGATGATATCCTGTGTTGTATGCAGGTATGTCAACATCAGGGTTCAGGCTCTGTATACAATATGTTCAATGTTAGACAAGAAATATCTATGTAGTCTGTAAGGGCCTCAGGGTCCATTATTCATGCCACAAAATGGTTTGTAGTGTTATGTAGATGCTTTAAGCAAATATGCCAAGATATATGGAAAAACAAATAAATAATTAGAGATCAGCAACAAAGAAACTTAATGATTGAAATTCACTATTTGATATGTTTTCTTTGGAAACTGCTGGTTATGCTTACAGGGCATAGAGGGAAAGTATATCCTAGCCCGAGCCCTCACAGAGAGATATGCTCCAAAAGAGTTCATGATAGACCAGAGTCTAGGTGAGTCACTGCAAGATATATCCCATGTTATTGAAGTCCATGATAGACTGGTTCTAGGTGAGTCACTGCGAGATATATCCCATGTTATTGAAGTCCATGATAGACTGGTTCTAGGTGAGTCACTGCAAGATATTCCCATGTTGTGGCATGAAGACAACTGCATCCAGTCCTAGACTGGTTCTAGGTGAGTCACTGCAAGATATATCCCATGTTATTGAAGTCCATGATAGACTGGTTCTAGGTGAGTCACTGCAAGATATATCCCATGTTGTTGAAGTCCATGATAGACTGGTTCTAGGTGAGTCACTGCAAGATATATCCCATGTTTTGAAGTCCATGATAAAAAGTTTGCTGTGCATAAAACAACATCCACTCAGTTCTCTGACTGATGTTTTCCTGAAATATTTAGTTAAATAAAGAATGAAATAATTGCGTCAAGATGTTTATCCTCTGTTTTTCTCTCTGTCAGGCAACTGCTTCAAGAAGATAGTTGCTATACACTAAATGTGGCCTGCCATGTTTGTATCTACAGACCCATCCCTGCAGGAGTTGGTGAAGCGGGTGCTGCCCATGTGTTCCAACTATTCCACTGTTGTCAGGTTTATAGAAGGTAACGCTACATCGTAGGGTGGTTCAAGTTGGTTATCTCTGTTGACAAGAGTAGTAGGGGTGGTTCCAAGTTGGTTATCTCTGTTGAAGGGACAACAAGTAGCCTCAAAGCATGGGGTATGAAGGATACCAAAGTTAAAGTCAGTATGTCATGTGGATACAGGGGTTTAAATCACCATGTCATGTGGATACAGGGGTTTAATCAGTATGTCATGTGGATACAGGGGGTTTAAATCACCATGTCATGTGGATACAACGGTTTAAATCACCATGTCATGTGGATACAAGGGTTTAATCAGTATGTCATGTGGATACAATGGTATAAATCACCATGTCATGTGGATACAGGGGTTTAAATCACCATGTCATGTGGATACAGGGGTTTAAATCACCATGTCATGTGGATACAGGGGTTTAAATCACCATGTCATGTGGATACAGGGTTTAAATCACCATGATACAGGGGTTTAAATCAGTAACGGTTTATATCACCATGTCATGTGGATACAGGGGTTTAAATCACCATGTCATGTGGATACAGGGGTTTAAATCACCATGTCATGTGGATACAACGGTTTAAATCACCATGTCATGTGGATACAATGGTTTATATCACCATTTCATGTGGATACAAAGGTTTAAATCAGTATGTCATGTGGATACAATGGTTTATATCACCATGTCATGTGGATATAATGGTTTATATCACCATGTCATGTGGATACAATGGTTTATATCACTATGTCATGTGGATACCGAGGTTTGAATCACCTTGTCACGTGGATACAGAGGTTTAAATCACTGATCATGTGGCTTCAAAGGTTTAGATCACTGTGTCATGACAATGTCATTTGGATACAGAGGTTTAAATCACCATGTCATGTGAATACAGAGGTTTAGATCACTGTCATGTGGATACAAAGGTTTAAATCACCATGTCATCTGGATACAGGTTTAAATCTCTATGTCATGTGGATACAGAGGTATATATAACTATATCATGTGGATTCACAGGTTAAAATCACTGTCATGTGGATGCAAAGGTTTAAATCACTATGTCATTTGAATACACAGGTTTAAATCACTGTGTCATTTGAATACACAGGTTTATATCACCATGTCATGTGGATTCACAGTAGTATTTGAATGACTTGAGTCAATTGGTTACTGCAGCTAATCTGCTGTAATATGACCTCGCTTTGATTCAACGTATTCTGTTACCATGGTTTCTGTGTTGGAGTTATGAATTCCTGGTGTCTCTTTCAGAGAAAGCTGCATTTGAGTACGGTCTAGTCAACCACGCCTTGAGTGCGGCCATGCGGACATTGATCAAGGTAGGTAACTGCTGCGGTCTGCATTAGTTGAACACATCTCATCATTACCATGGCTCCATACTTAAATCAGTGTGAATCTGATGAGTTGAAAGTGGATCATTGCTACTCGGTTGAGGTTATGTCAGGGGTGGAAATAACTTTAAAATTGCTAGTGTACTCCGGTACAGTGGCACATGTAAAAACATTTGCCCTGATAATTTTTCCACTATACCGTCCGTTTTATTGTTGATTTTTTAAATAAACAACATAATTGAATATTGGAAAGTCAACTGGACACCGGTACAGTGTGATATACAAATTTGCTTGCCCAACAGAAAAAAACACTGGACTCGGGCGTCGGGCAATGGGTTATTTCCACCCCTGTATGTATTTGTAATGTTCACTTGTTTTTCTGCTGCAGGACTATATGGTGCTTGTAGCTCAGCTGGAACACCAGTACAGTCCTTGTATGCTGGTGAGGCTGGTGAGTACCCTGCTACACCTTGTATGGTCCTTGTATGGTGCTTGTAGCTCAGCTGGAACACCAGTACAGGCTGGTGAGTACCCTGCTACACCTTGTATGGTCCTTGTATGGTGCTTGTAGCTCAGCTGGAACACCAGTACAGGCTGGTGAGTACCCTGCTACACCTTGTATGGTCCTTGTATGGTCCGTGTGTGGTCTTTAAACAACATTGTGTCATCCTTATGTCATCAGTGTGTGACTCTTTAATGAACCTTTTGGGATCCTTGTATGATATACTTGGGAACAATGTGCTAACATTCATTAACAGTTTAACAATGATTACACTGTAATATATCTTGTGTACATGGTTTCTGCAATGTCAGAAGTACCCAGACGTATTTCTAATCTATCCACTTTAGTTTACCTTTCGTCCAATTACTGCTCACCTGATGCTTACATCCTTAGTACATTGTCCATCATCCATCTATCTGGTTGTCCATCTGTCATCAACGTTTGCAATTCCCATGTTAAACCTATGTACAGTGAACCATGGTTATATTGGGGCGCTGTGGGCGAGCTGGCTAAAGCGCCAGGTTAGTGATCCAGCAAGCATGAGGTGCTGGGATCGAGCCCACCTGTGACCGGGTGTAAAATCCTTGAGTCAACTTTGTGTGCAGACTCTTTCAGTGTTGTCACAACCCCAAGTGTACAGTACACAACCCTGTGCACTTAAAAGAACCCACGAATCCGTTGGTATATGACCAGATGGTGGCCACATGAATACGCGCAAACACCTAGTTGCAGGTACAGCAACGTTAAACCTATGTTAAACCAATGTACAGTGAACCATGGTTATATTGCAGGGTCCCATGTTAAACCTATGTACAGTGAACCATGGTTATATTACAGGGTCCCATGTTAAACCTATGTACAGTGAACCATGGTTATATTACAGGGTCCCATGTTAAACCTATGTACAGTGAGTCATGGTTATATTACAGGGTCCCATGTTAAACCTATGTACAGTGAGTCATGGTTATATTACAGGGTCCCATGTTAAACCTATGTACAGTGAACCATGGTTATATTACAGGGTCCCATGTTAAACCTATGTACAGTGAACCATGGTTATATTACAGGGTCCCATGTTAAACCAATGTACAGTGAGTCATGGTTATATTACAGGGTCCCATGTTAAACCTATGTACAGTGAGTCATGGTTATATTACAGGGTCCCATGTTAAACCTATGTACAGTGAACCATGGTTATATTGCAGGGTCCCATGTTAAACCTATGTACAGTGAGTCATGGTTATATTACAGGGTCCCATGTTAAACCTATGTACAGTGAACCATGGTTATATTGCAGGGTCCCATGTTAAACCTATGTACAGTGAACCATGGTTATATTACAGGGTCCCATGTTAAACCTATGTACAGTGAACCATGGTTATATTACAGGGTCCCATGTTAAACCTATGTACAGTGAACCATGGTTATATTACAGGGTCCCATGTTAAACCTATGTACAGTGAGTCATGGTTATATTACAGGGTCCCATGTTAAACCTATGTACAGTGAACCATGGTTATATTGCAGGGTCCCATGTTAAACCTATGTACAGTGAACCATGGTTATATTACAGGGTCCCATGTTAAACCTATGTACAGTGAACCATGGTTATATTACAGGGTCCCATGTTAAACCTATGTACAGTGAACCATGGTTATATTGCAGGGTCCCATGTTAAACCTATGTACAGTGAACCACGGTTATATTGGGGCGCGGTGGGCGAGCATGATCCAGCGAGCATGAGGTGCCGGGATCGAGCCCACCTGTGACCGGGTGTAAAATCCTTGGAGTCAACTTTGTGTGCAGACTCTTTCAGTGTTGTCACAACCCCAAGTGTACAGTACACAACCCTGTGCACTTAAAAGAACCCACGAATCCGTTGGTATATGACCAGATGGTGGCCACATGAATACGCGCAAACACCTAGTTGCAGGTACAGCAACGTTAAGCCTATGTTAAACCAATGTACAGTGAACCATGGTTATATTGCAGGGTCCCATGTTAAACCTATGTACAGTGAACCATGGTTATATTACAGGGTCCCATGTTAAACCTATGTACAGTGAACCATGGTTATATTACAGGGTCCCATGTTAAACCTATGTACAGTGAACCATGGTTATATTACAGGGTCCCATGTTAAACCTATGTACAGTGAGTCATGGTTATATTACAGGGTCCCATGTTAAACCAATGTACAGTGAACCATGGTTATATTACAGGGTCCCATGTTAAACCTATGTATAGTGAACCATGGTTATATTACAGGGTCCCATGTTAAACCAATGTACAGTGAGTCATGGTTATATTACAGGGTCCCATGTTAAACCTATGTACAGTGAGTCATGGTTATATTACAGGGTCCCATGTTAAACCTATGTACAGTGAACCATGGTTATATTGCAGGGTCCCATGTTAAACATATGTACAGTGAGTCATGGTTATATTACAGGGTCCCATGTTAAACCAATGTACAGTGAACCATGGTTATATTGCAGGGTCCCATGTTAAACCTATGTACAGTGAACCATGGTTATATTACAGGGTCCCATGTTAAACCTATATATAGTGAACCATGGTTATATTACAGGGTCCCATGTTAAACCTATGTATAGTGAACCATGGTTATATTACAGGGTCCCATGTTAAACCTATGTTCAGTGAGTCATGGTTATATTACAGGGTCCCATGTTAAACCTATCTACAGTGAACCATGGTTATATTGCAGGGTCCCATGTTAAACCTATGTACAGTGAACCATGGTTATATTACAGGGTCCCATGTTAAACCTATGTACAGTGAACCACGGTTATATTACAGGGTCCCATGTTAAACCTATGTACAGTGAACCATGGTTATATTGCAGGGTCCCATGTTAAACCTATGTACAGTGAACCATGGTTATATTGCAGGGCACGCTGACCCTCCAGAAACTCTGGTTCTACATCCAGCCGACGCTGAGGACCCTGGAGATCCTGGCATCTGTTTCCAACTCCATCAACAGGGTAGGGACATCTCTGCTGCTGGGGGAGTTAGTTATGTTAGCAGGGGCCACTTCATCCTTTTGGTTCTTTCATCCTTCTCTCAGCTCAAACAGTGTGAACATCCATTCTATGGGCAGACACTTGCCGAAGCCCATTTCCTGTAGTTACATTCCTTTGGTCAAAGACAACATGATATACATGTATGTATCATCTGAATGCCAGATTTTTAGCTTTGAGAAGGTTCAGTATATTCAGTTGTATCCTTCCTTCCCCTTCATGTGACATGTGTCTGTGGTTGCAGGGCGAGTGTATTGGAGGCGCCGTGCTCAGTCTGCTGCATGAGAAGACGTCCACTCTCATCGGGTAAACACAGCTGTGTAGCAGGGGAAACAGGGAGTAGAACAAACTGTCAGGCTGATCACTTCCCAGACATCTCTAACATGGGTAGCCTACATGGCTGTGTAGCAGGGGAAACGGAGTAGAATACACTGTCAGGCTGATCACTTCCCAGACATCTCTAACATGGGTAGCCTACATGGCTGTGTAGCAGGGGAAACGGAGTAGAACAAACTGTCAGGCTGATCACTTCCCAGACATCTCTAACATGGGTAGCCTAGATGGCTGTGTAGCAGGGGAAACGGAGTAGAATACACTGTCAGGCTGATCACTTCCCAGACATCTCTAACATGGGTAGCCTAGATGGCTGTGTAGCAGGGGAAACGGACTAGAATACACTGTCAGGCTGATCACTTCCCAGACATCTCTAACATGGGTAGCCTACATGGCTGTGTGTTCTCAGGTGCTCTTTGAGGCCCTGGGATCTGCTGGTCAGGTTTGAATCCCAGGTTAACCTTGATCATTATCGTTGGCCTTGTCAGCACTGTGTGCGTGTCCAGTGGGTTTCAACATCATGGGTTTCACCACCATGGGTTTCACTGCCATGGTAAGTGCTGCAGTCTGTGGCATTAGTTTCTAGAAGGTGACAGATGTTAAAGATTATAGCATTTATTTACAAAACTCTACTATGTTGATAAAGGAGGGAAATAACACTTGTTAACTTGTCTGCATTGGATCCCAGCATGTTTCCATTTATAATCAGACTTTGTTTTGGGGTGCTGGTTCTGTGGATTGTGGTATTTATGATGGAAGATTGTATGGTTTTGTTTACACTATCTTGTCTTTCTTCCAGTGATGCTAAAAGTCAGGAGCTCTGCCTCTACCTAACACAGTCGGTGAGTATAGCTCCTACATCTGGCATGTTGCAAACCAGGAAACTTGCATGAATGACAAGAAAGCTCACTCATATACAAAGGGAAAATACACAGGATTTGTTCATCAGAATATATCTGCACCCATTATTAAAGTCACTGCAGTCGATAGGAAGCCAGCTCCAGTTGTCATGTAATGTGTCACCACAATGCTGAATTACAGGTGGAACTGGTTCTCAAATTACATTACAACTGGAGGTACTCACAGCTTCTTGAAGGTACCCAGTACCCTGTGCACTACATTGTTATCCCCCGCCGCGCATTGAGCGTGAAGTGGGGGATATAGTATTAGGCTCCGTCCGTCCGTCCGTACGTATGAATTGGAATATCTTAAGAACCGTTCACTAGATTCTTTTCATAATTGGTACCTAGGTTCATCACAGTATAAGAAAGGTCCAAGTCAGGTTTGGTGACCTTGACCTTAATTTCAAGGTCACAAGGGGACTTCAACGTTTTACCTGCATGTTAAGCTATCTCAACTCAAGAACCATTCGCTGGATTTTCTTCATATTCAATACAAAGCTTTATCTAGGAAAGGTGCAGGGCCCAGTCGATTTTGGTGACCTTCACATAATGTTCAAGGTCATGGCGACACTTTGAAGATTTCAGCATGTAAACCTGCATGTTAAGCTATCTCGAGAAGAGTTCACTGGATTTTCTTCATATTTGAAACCAAGCTTTATCTATGGAAGGCGCAAGGCCCAGTCGATTTTGATGACCTTCACTTAATTTTCAAGGTCACAGAGACACTTTGAAGATTTGAGCATGTTAACCTGAATTGCAGGATATTTCAAAAACAGTTCACTGAATCTTCTTCAAAGACTTTCAAGTCTTCCCTTAAATGTTTTTCAAAAAGCAATTTCTTTAGTACTATTTTTGCATATTTCATACACTATGACATTCATGTCAAAGTCAGTCTTGAAAATATGTGTGTCATTTCTTTATAAGTTTGATTTGATAATTTGCGGCGGGGGATTATGTCACCTTAGTGACAATGCTTGTTCTATACTCTTCTGTGATTGAAGCAAGAAGGAATACTGCATGCTGTTGTGTCTGGATAGATATTGTAAACAAGGGTAATACTCTGATTGTAAACAAGGGTAATACTCTGATTGTAAACAAGGGGATTACTCTGATTGTAAACAAGGGGGATACTCTTATTGTAAACAAGGGGAATACTCTGATTGTAAACAAGGGGAATACTCTGATTGTAAACAAGGGGAATACTCTGATTGTAAACAAGGGGGATTGTAAACAAGGGAATACTCTGATTGTAAACAAGGGGAATACTCTGATTGTAAACAAGGGGATTACTCTGATTGTAAACAAGGGGTAATACTCTGATTGTAAACAAGGGTATTACTCTGATTGTAAACAAGGGTAATACTCTGATTGTAAACAAGGGGATAACTCTGATTGTAAACACGGGGATTACTCTGATTGTAAACAAGGGTAATACTCTGTAAACAACGGGAATACTCTGATTGTAAACAAGGGGATTACTCTGATTGTAAACAAGGGGAATACTCTGATTGTAAACAAGGGTAATACTTCTGATTGTAAACAAGGGGAATACTCTGATTGTAAACAAGGGGGATTGTAAACAAGGGATTACTCTGATTGTAAACAAGGGGAATACTCTGTAAACAACGGGAATACTCTGATTGTAAACAAGGGGATTACTCTGATTGTAAACAAGGGTAATACTCTGATTGTAAACAAGGGGATTACTCTGATTGTAAACAAGGGTAATACTCTGATTGTAAACAAAGGGGATTGTAAACTACTCTGATTGTAAACAAGGGATTACTCTGATTGTAAACAAAGGGTAATACTCTGATTGTAAACAAGGGATTACTCTGATTGTAAACAAGGGGATTACTCTGGGATTACTCTGATTGTAAACAAGGGTATTGTAAACAAGGAGAATACTCTGATTGTAAACAAGGGGATTACTCTGATTGTAAACAAGGGTAATACTCTGATTGTAAACAAGGGGATTACTCTGATTGTAAACAAGGGTAATACTCTGATTGTAAACAAGGGGATTACTCTGATTGTAAACAAGGGGATTACTCTGATTGTAAACAAGGGTAATACTCTGATTGTAAACAAGGGTAATACTCTGATTGTAAACAAGGGGATTACTCTGATTATAAACAACGGGAATACTCTGATTGTAAACAAGGGTAATACACTAATTGTCAAACTTTGATTCCAGGCTTGTGTTCCGTACTTCGAGATCTTGGAGAAATGGATCTACAAAGGCATTATATCAGACCCTTACTCTGAGGTTTGTTTATGTCTTTACTCTTGTTTGTATTTATCTTTACACTGAGTTTTGTGTAAATCCTTAATCTGAGGTGTGTGCGTGCGTGTGTGCGTGCGTGCGTGCGTTACGCACACACACACACACACACACATATATATATCTATCTTCACATACAGTTGTCAAAGGTTTCCAGTTTAGATATTGTTTAGAGGCTGATATCAGATTGGCTGTTGACCACAATGATCAGTTCATAGTGTTCACAGAGGGTTCACTTAATGGAAGTAGTGGAGGGTTTCTGGATGTTCACAATCATGCTGAAGTAATATAGATATGATTCTTTTTCAGAAGAAGTCCTCCTTGGAGTACATATAAGCACTAAAATGTCCATTTTAAGGCCTATGACAGTTGTAACTATATGTTTTAATAAAATATTTACAAAACGAAAAACATGTTTTGTCTTGTGAGACCACCCCTACAGGGCCCCTCAGCCCTACAGCCAAGAGCAGGTAACTCTAGACGTCAGCCTCACACCTCTCTTTTCATGCTGTCGTTCCATCAGGAGGACGTGTGTGTTGTTCATTGGAAGTTGACCAAGAATCAACTACTGTATGTATGGTTCCTTTTTCTATGCACGGGTGCAAGATGGAAGTTATAGGTTGATTTTTTCATTCATAAATCGTTGTAACTTTGTCCTCTTGTCACCAAATTCCTGCCATGTGGCAGGTAATATGGCAGATCCCGCGGCGTACATGCATACTTTGTTTAGGTTGTTAGCTTGGCTTTCACCTGCTTAGCATGTATGTATATGATATATATAGTATATTATATGGTAGGCTTGCCTTATTATCTTCGCTTTCAGTGAATTTTCTGTAAGTCTGTTTGTTGGTATTTTAGCATTTACTTGTGTTATGCTACTTGTGTTATGCTATATACTTTCATTGCTATATGTACACCAGTTGGCTTCCGTTTCCACTTTATGTTAGGCATGTCTAAGCTGGTTATGTTTGCTTTAGCTTTTGGCATTTAATATCGCCCGTGCGTTATATTTTTTGCTCTGTGTGTGTGTGCGTGTGGCGTGTGTGCGTGCGTGCGTGCGCGTCGCGTGCGTGCGTGCGTGCGTGTTACCATAACATGCTTCCGTTTGTTGCAGTTTAAACCCTGCATTACATGCAGTGCCACTATTCCACCACAAGACCCACACCTTTTATGTCTCCTGCTCCTTAGGCGAAGAGGCTAATGGTGATCAGGGGTGTCGGATTTGTCAGTCTTTTACACCCAAACCAATAAAAAGCCGTCATGCTGACTTGCTTTTTTACACAAATTTGCTGCAGGCGGGGTGGGGGATATCTGGGACCCCCCTTCTAATAAAGCTACTAAAAAGAAGAGTTCCTCTTCTTCCATAGAGGGTGGAGGCAAGCGGGCCAAGGCGGCGGAAAAAAAACCCTCTTCCCTTACCCCTTGAACTTCTGCACAATCAGCTCCTGCACCATTAACCATATCTGATCTGTCTTCAATTTTGCAGCAGCAGATGACCTCCGTTAAGTGACTGATCTCGGACACGGCAACCGTCCGGGGACTAGTGGCGGCACGGGGTCATCTGCCGGAGGCATGCCCCCCTACGAGCTTCAGCCCTTGGTCGGGTTCATCCTCCGGGAGTGTGTTAAACCCGAGTCTCGGCTCTGGGGGCAGCCACTCCTCGGGAACTGCTGTTTCTGGCCCTGCCTTTGGCTCCGGCACAGTCCATCTTCCTGGCGCTGGTCACTCAGGTCACATACCCTCGAGCCTAGGCTCTCCTCGACCCTTTGTCCTTTTCCTCGGCTCCCTCTTCAATTCCCTCAGAGTTATCTCTTGAGACGGAGAGCTCTATCCTCGAGGAGCAGGATGAGGAAGCCATGGATGATGATGGGAGTCAGGTGCGCTAGAGTGAAGTTTCCTTCTCTCTTCTCCTACCAGGTGCGCGAGCGTATCACCACCATTTTGCTTCAGGTGGTTGTCCCTTCGGACGGCCCCGACACCACAGAGTTACGACTTCCCGGTGAAGCTTTTGCTCCGTGTCGGGTTGTCCCGACCCAATTACGCATTCTCCCATCGCTTATTGGGGAGGTTATTAACCCTCTCCTGTCAGGTAGTTGCTCACGATTCAATCTTCCGGATGTCAATCGGCGCTATCTGATGGAGGAGGAGGGCCTTATGACCCTCCTGTTGTTGACGAGTGCATCTATGCCTTGGTCGCCCGGGTTCTACCGGTCACACGCAAGCTTCGGCTAGGCAAGGCCGGCGCCTACCGTCATTTACCGTATATTACCGTCTATAAGCCGAATTTTGAGGATAAAAAAAAAGCAGTCTGTAGAAGGGGGTTGGCTAATCTATGAGTTACGCTTTCGTCAAACTTTTTTCCAGGGGTAAGAAAACAACATCGTATCACTTCGCAGGAACAAACAACAGGAAACAACTTTTTCAGTAAAGACATCAAATTTGCAATTAAACATCACTAGACAAGATTATTTACATTTTAAGTTCCAAGTTGTTTTTGCTGGTCATTGTAAAATTTGCAGGGATTAACATTACCGCGTGTATTTGAGCCGGAAATAGCAATCAGCTGTGCACGCATTTCCTGGCGATCAAGTTCAAACATGCACAATAATATAACGGGATGACGCAGTCATCAGTAAAATATAATACACAACACTATTATTTAACCCAAAGAAATATATCCTAGCATTGCGTAATTTAATTACAGTTTTTGTTCTATAAATGTAATATATATATAATCAACACTAAGATTATACTGACCCTCATGAACATGGTAAGCGGAAGTTGTACGCACATGGAATGGGGTAAAATTAGCGAGCCATTTAAATTCACACATTCAGCCCTTGCTCGAACAACCCTCCGTTCCTCGCACGAGACCTCCTGTCCTTGCCAATGCATATCAGGAGCCAGCAAAGTGGGCAGCTCCACTGCAGGCGCGCAATCAAGGGCAAGGGGAAAGGCAAGGGCAAGGCTGAGGAAGATTTTCAGTGGAAAGGGAAGTCGGCCCTGGCTTCCCAGTAAACATTCCTCCGGAGCCCTTACAGAACCCGGTGCAAGCAGTCGGAGCACTGCTGACCACCAGGATTCGTTGCCTGTTACCCGATGTCCCTGTCGGCGGCAGACTTCCTCTATTCCTTCGGGAGTGGGAGAAAGTCACCTCAAATCCCTGGGTCCTGTCCACGCTCAGGGATGGCCATTTGCCACATTGGAAGCGAGGCCCTCCTCCCTTCTCTGGGATTCGTTGCACTCCGGTGCCGAACACTCAGGAGAAGGCAGATATGTTCCGTGCCGAGGTCCAGTCGTTGCTGGACAAGGCAGCCATAGAGATGGTTCCGTTGGGCCAGGAGAATCTGGGGTTTTACTCCACATATTTCCTGGTTACCAAGAAGGACGGAGGGTTCAGACCTATTCTAAATTTCAAAGGGCTGATCGACATGATAGAGGTGCCGTCTTTCAAGATGGAGACACTGCGTTCAGTGATCTCGTCTGTAGAGGCAGGGTATTGGCTTACGTCAATCGACCTCAAAGACGATACCTCCATGTTGCGATGCACCCCGACTTCAGGAAATACCTCAGGTTTTCCTTCGACGGGAAGTGATATCAGTTTCGTGTACTCCCCTTCGGCATCTCCACGGCGCCAAAGGTGTTATCAAAGTTATGCTCTTTCCAGCTCAGATCACAAGGGCACAGGGCAATTTTTGTTACCTGTACCTGGACGACTGGCTACTCAGAGCGCTCGCCAATAAACAAACTATCTCGAGATGGATTATTTCTGTGATATGTATGGGTTACATACACGAAGGCTTGTTCCCTCCAGAGAGGTTAAAAGCTCATTCGGTTAGAACAGTTGCCACCTCCAAGGCGTATGCTGCTGCTATGCCCATTGAAAAGATCTGCTCTGCGGCTATTTGGAGCCGACCGAGTACGTTCATCCAACATTATCAGCTGGACAAACACTCACGTGAGCGCGCTCGGTTTGGCCAGACGGCTCTCCACAGTGGACAGAGGAGTACCTCTCTAGCCGAGTGAGCTTTCGAGATCATTTACTCTGTACTCTACTTCGTGTCAGGTTTTTATCATTCTCTTTTTATCGGTGGTGGCATATGGTGATGGTTCTTATCCCCGATCTACTTTGGTATTTTGGTGTCTTGTACTTTACTCATTCTTTCCACTTCACCACGCCTTTGCTGGCTAAAGAGCATTTTCTGATAGTGGTTTGTTTTGGCGAGTACCCCATAGTTTACTCCTCCACACCTTGGGTTGGGGGGGTGGGGTTATATAAGTGACTTGACACCGTTATCCAATCACAGATAAGCTAGACATTCTGGGTCCTCGCCCTAGCCGCGCTCCTCCACCCTTTCCAATACTTCCAATGGATCGTTATCGCTATCAGACAGAATGCCACTCCCGACTCAAATATCTTTGGGAGTCTGTCTAATGCCTATATGTACCCCAAGGGGTACTTCTTCTGAAAAAGAATCGTACAAACCTGTAGAGGTTTTTGATTCTCTGAAGAATTCTGTCTGATACTTTCAGCATGAAAAGTGATGTGCGAGGTTGATGGCTAGAGTTACCTGCTCTTGGCTGTAGGGGGCCCCTGAGGGGCCCTGTAGGGGTGGTCTCACAAGACAAAAACGTGTTTTTTGTTTTGTTGATATTTTATTAAAAATTATAGTTACAACTGTAGTAGGTTTTCAAACGGACATGTTAGTGCTTATATGTACCCCAAGGAGGACTTTCTTCAAAGAATCAATAACCTCTACAGGTTTGTACGATTTTTGTCCTGAAACATAGCTGTGCTGATGCTTGGCACAGTATTTCTCCTGGGCTAGAAGTTGAATGACACTAATATATTGATATCTGTGTGGTCCAAGTATTCCTGGAGCTGTGCAGTGAGTGATCTGTGTTTCAGTTTCTGGTGGAGGAGAATGAGACGATTCAGAAGGAGAAGCTCCAGGAGGAGTACAACGATGCATATCCTTTTGTCTCATTCCTCTTAAAATGTTATTCCTCTTATCCTGTGAAAAGAAATATGATGAATAAGTAAATAGACATACATCATGAATAACAAAAGGAAGTGCTCTCTAAAGCTGATATAAGTATGACGTGTATATTCCTTAACGTCGCCACCTATTGGGAGCAGCACTACACCATCTGTAGAGAGAGGATCCCTGTGTTCCTGGAGCAGATGGCCGACAAGATCCTCAACACGGGAAAGTACCTCAACGTCGTCCGACTCTGTGGTAGGTGGTCTCTCTACTGATATGTCAGCAATGAAGCTGTTGGCACCATGGTTCTGCGGCAGTAGCCCATGCTTGTTGTAAGAGGTGACTTTATGGATTTGGTGCTCAGACCTGGAGACATGGTTGATGGCATGTCACTTTATCCTGACACTTGGACTGTTGCTCTGTTTTGTCTGTGCCAGACCTCTACCATGCCTATGCTGACTTGCTCCACTTGGTACAAACACATCCCACTTACATCGACATTAGGCTGACATACTGTAATATGTATGTTGAATTTGTGTAGACCTGATTACATGGGTTTTAGTAAAGAAGGAACACGTAATTTGTGTAGACCTGATTACATGGGTTTTAGTGAAGAAGGAACAAGTAATTTGTGTAGACCTGATTACATGGGTTTAAGTGAAGAAGGAACAAGTAATTTGTGTAGACCTGATTACATGGGTTTTAGTGAAGAAGGAACAAGTAATTTGTGTAGACCTGATTACATGGGTTTTAGTGAAGAAGGAACACGTAATTTGTGTAGACCTGATTACATGGGTTTTAGTGAAGAAGGAACAAGTAATTTGTGTAGACCTGATTACATGGGTTTTAGTGAAGAAGGAACAAGTAATTTGTGTAGACCTGATTACATGGGTTTTAGTGAAGAAGGAACAAGTAATTTGTGTAGACCTGATTACATGGGTTTTAGTGAAGAAGGAACAAGTAATTTGTGTAGACCTGATTACATGGGTTTTAGTGAAGAAGGAACAAGTAATTTGTGTAGACCTGATTACATGGGTTTTAGTGAAGAAGGAACAAGTAATTTGTGTAGACCTGATTACATGGGTTTTAGTGAAGAAGGAACAAGTAATTTGTGTAGACCTGATTACATGGGTTTTAGTGAAGAAGGAACAAGTAATTTGTGTAGACCTGGTTGCATGGGTTTTAGTGAAGAAGGAACAAGTAATTTGATTGTTGTAACGTTGGATGTATTAGTTGTCCAGGTGTCCTGTATTTGTGTGAAAGGGGTCGTTATGAAGTTGTTTGTGTTGGATACATTGTGTCCCATGATGAGGGATGGCCTAGTTGTCTGAGCCACCACAGTTCACTGTGCACAGTTGCCTCCCTTGATGCTCCAGACACATATGACCGTTGGTTTGAATCCTGGTTGTGTTGTTGGTGTCAGCCCTTTGTCCTGACGTACATCTGTGTCCTGTGTTTATAGCCCGTGATGTGAAGTGTCCGTATGCCGAGGAGATTGTGTACACCTTGAAGGAGAGGAAGTACTACGACCAGATAGATAAAGCGTACCACTATGCTAGTCGTCTGCTGCTCGACCTCCTCATGGAGGAGAAAGAACTCATGGCACGCATCAGGTGAGGGAGTTGTTGGGGTTCTGAAGGTCTTTGATCGTCAAGGCTAGAAAAGCGTACATCAGAACTGATGCTGGCAGTAAACAAAGAGCGACAAACTGGCCCGAGATGAAATGTTTATCATTTGGTTGCAACTGACCATGTCAGCTACCACACAGAGATATCTAACATCATGTCTATTATGCACAACGGTCCAATGACACGTGCAGTAGTATGTCAGTATAATTAACAACTTTGTGTTTTGAGGTGGAAACAGCTCTTCTTCCTTTTGTATTTCAGGGTAATAAAGCACTATTTCTGTGTTTTAAGTCAATAAAGCACTACTCCTGTGTTTCAGGTCAATAAAGCACTACTGTGTTTCAGGTCAATAAAGCACTACTGTGTTTCAGGGCAATAAAGCACTACTGTGTTTCAGGGCAATAAAGCACTACTCCTATGTTTCAGGTCGATAAAGCACTACTCCTGTTTCAGGTCAATAAAGCACTACTCCTGTGTTTCAGGTCAATAAAGCACTACTTTCTGCTGGACAAGGGAGACTTCATGGTTCAATTCATGGACATGACGGAGGAGGAGATGAAGCAGAACATAGAGGATATCCTTGACGTGACGATGGAGTCAGATAGGTTAAACACTGCCTTCAACAGTGGTTCACTTTGGTCAAAATATTTGGTGGATATTTACAATCTGAGAAAACTTGACTCTAGAAGGAGTTCATTGTTTTAGAAATAGATATGTGGAGTATTTGGCCTTTTGTCTGATGTGCATGAATTAAGAAATGTTTTGAACAATGTTTAAAAGTAGTTATGTATTTTGTTGTATGTTTGATATCTACACCCTATTGAGGTGTTAGAGCTCCTTAACCTCCATACATATCATGCCGACACGTCTCGAGTCCCTCCTGGAGCTGGCCCTGAGGACAAGCACAGCAAATGTGGACCCTTTCAAAGATGACCTCAGGTAAGAATGGAGAGACAGGTTCTTGTTGAAGGATGACTTCAGGCAGGGATGAGAGACTGGTTCTTGTTGAAGGATGACCTCAGGTAGGGATGGAGAATCTGGTTCTTGTTGAAGGATGACCTCAGGTAGGGATGAGAGACTGGTTCTTGTTGAAGGATGACCTCAGGTAGGGATAGAGAATCTGGTTCTTGTTGAAGGATGACCTCAGGTAGGGATGAGAGACTGGTTCTTGTTGAAGGATGACCTCAGGTAGGGATGAGAGACTGGTTCTTGTTGAAGGATGACCTCAGATAGGGATGAGAGACTGGTTCTTGTTGAAGGATGACCTCAGGTAGGGATGAGAGACTGGTTCTTGTTGAAGGATGACCTCAGGTAGGGATGGAGAATCTGGTTCTTGTTGAAGGATGACCTCAATTAGGGATGGAGAATCTGGTTCTTGTTGAATGATGACCTCAGGTAGGGATGGAGAATCTGGTTCTTGTTGAAGGATGACCTCAGGTAGGGATGGAGAATCTGGTTCTTGTTGAAGGATGACCTCAGGTAGGGATGGAGAATCTGGTTCTTGTTGAAGGATGACCTCAGGTAGGGATGGAGAATCTGGTTCTTGTTGAAGGATGACCTCAGGTAGGGATGGAGAATCTGGTTCTTGTTGAAGGATGACCTCAGGTAGGGATGGAGAATCTAGTTCTTGTTGAAGGATGACCTCAGGTAGGGATGAGAGACTGGTTCTTGTTGAAGGATGACCTCAGGTAGGGATGAGAGACTGGTTCTTGTTGAAGGATGACCTCAGGTAGGGATAGAGAATCTGGTTCTTGTTGAAGGATGACCTCAGGTAGGGATGAGAGACTGGTTCTTGTTGAAGGATGACCTCAGGTAGGGATGAGAGACTGGTTCTTGTTGAAGGATGACCTCAGGTAGGGATGAGAGACTGGTTCTTGTTGAAGGATGACCTCAGGTAGGGATGAGAGACTGGTTCTTGTTGAATGATGACCTCAGGTAGGGATGAGAGACTGGTTCTTGTTGAATGATGACCTCAGGTAGGGATGGAGAATCTGGTTGTTGTTGAAGGATGACCTCAGGTAGGGATGGAGAATCTGGTTCTTGTTGAAGGATGACCTCAATTAGGGATGGAGAATCTGGTTCTTGTTGAAGGATGACCTCAGGTAGGGATGGAGAATCTGGTTCTTGTTGAAGGATGACCTCAGGTAGGGATGGAGAATCTGGTTCTTGTTGAAGGATGACCTCAGGTAGGGATGGAGAATCTGGTTCTTGTTGAAGGATGACCTCAGGTAGGGATGGAGAATCTGGTTCTTGTTGAAGGATGACCTCAGGTAGGGATGGAGAATCTGGTTCTTGTTGAAGGATGACCTCAGGTAGGGATGGAGAATCTGGTTCTTGTTGAAGGATGACCTCAGGTAGGGATGGAGAATCTGGTTCTTGTTGAAGGATGACCTCAGGTAGGGATGGAGAATCTGGTTCTTGTTGAAGGATGACCTCAGGTAGGGATGGAGAATCTGGTTCTTGTAAGGATGACCTCAATTAGGGATGGAGATCTGGTTCTTCAACCTCAGGTAGGGATGGAGAATCTGGTTCTTGTTGAAGGATGACCTCAGGTAGGGATGGAGAATCTGGTTCTTGTTGAAGGATGACCTCAGGTAGGGATGGAGAATCTGGTTCTTGTTGAAGGATGACCTCAGGTAGGGATGGAGAATCTAGTTCTTGTTGAAGGATGACCTCAGGTAGGGATGAGAGACTGGTTCTTGTTGAAGGATGACCTCAGGTAGGGATGAGAGACTGGTTCTTGTTGAAGGATGACCTCAGGTAGGGATGGAGAATCTGGTTCTTGTTGAAGGATGACCTCAGGTGAGGATTTCATCACAACCAAAAACAACACAAAGTAGGGATGGAGAGGCGGTAGAGATAATAGATCAGCAGCATCTCACTCCAGGCTTCTACTCCCCAATTTTTCTAGTACCCAAGAAGAACTCCAAAGAGAAGTTTAGACTGATTTACAACATGCGCAAATTCAACAAAGACTATCTACTGAAACCAGACAGGTTCAGAATGATCCACCTACCTCAACTCAGACTACTCGTCCGTTCAGCAGATTACATGGCCAGCATAGACCTGCAGGATGCGTATCTACACATCCCCATACATCTGGAATCAAGAAAGTATCTGCGATTCCTATTCAGAGGGCAGCACTTCCAATGGAACGTCCTACCGTTTGGAATATCTTCGGCCCCGTGGCTATCCACACGAGTAACCAAGCCTATAGTCGCTACCTACATCATCGAGGTCGACGCAATGCCTTCTGCCTGGACGACGGCATTCAGGTTCACCAAAGTACCAGTCAACTCAGACTACAGCTGAACTTCACAATTAAGTTGCACGCAACTAGGATGGCTAGTGAACCTGATGAAGTTGGAGTTAGAATCAAAACAAGATCTTCACTTGCTGGGAATAAGAATTATCACAACACAGAATGGTATTGTCGTCCCAGAAGATTGTTGGGTGAAGATACAAGCCATGATTCCACAAGCAGTCATCTCTCTGTTAACACTACGAACATGGCATTGTCTATTCGGTCTACTAACCTCTGTGCAGGACTTGTCTTGCACAGGAAGGTTGCAACTAAGACCGCTGCAACGGTTCCTGACAAAACATCTAGACAGCGTCGACCCTATCTTGGTGCCAGACAATCTCAAGAGGTACCTACTTTGGTGGACTCACAGGTCGAAAGTTTGTGGAGGGACCTATTTACAAGAGCTGGCCTTCGACACACATCTCTACGCAGACGCTTCGATACAAGGCTGGGGTGTGCATCTCAACAATCAAGTTGCATCAGGGAGGTGGTCCAAAATAGAACAGCATATTCACATCAGTCTGCTGGAGATGAAAGCTGTGATCAACACCTTACAACTATGGTCGAGCTCGCTGATCAAAAGAATGCTGATGGTCCACACGGACAACTCTACAATGGCATTTTTCCATAAATCGGCAAGGATCTACAAGGTCTACAAGCCTTCTACAGCTCACATTCCAGTTGTTTGACATCCCGGAGGAAGCAAACATCTGGATAAAGGCGTGTCACATACCCGGAGCCAAGAACGTGCTTGCAGACGCTCTCTCCGACCACTGCACCTGTCACATACGGAATGGATGCTCCATCCAGAAGCATTCCGGCTCATCATAAGGGAAATAGGTACCCCATGCATAGACCTGTTTGGCATGAGGTTCAACAAACAACTACAGACGTTTGTCTCACCAGTTCGAGATCCTCAAGCCTGGGCAACAGATGCACTGAGCATATCATGGGAAGGACTAAATGCTTACGCGTTTCCACCCCCGATATTACTACCGAAAGTACTGTTTAAGATCAAACAGACACAGGCGCTACAACTGACTTTGGTCGCGGCATACTGGCCAGCGAGAGTATGGTTCCTAGACCTAATAGAAGATCTCGGAAGTCCAACAATCAAGTTACCAGATTGGCCGAACCTACTTATACATCCGCACACCAAGCAAGTCCAGGGGAACCCAGCTCTGTTCCAGCTACACGTGTGGACCGTATCAAAACATGTTTGAAGAAGAGAGGATACTCCGCCAGGGCAGCTAAGGCAGTAACCTTAGCATTATGCTGATCTACTCGTAACCTGTATGATGACAAGTGGCTGAAGTTCAAGACGTATGCAAGGCGGAAAGGCTTCATTGCTATGAAAGCTACTCATCCTCAAGTGGCGGAATACCTAAGTTGACGAAAGTACCAGAATTACTTGCTCTGCTGAGATTTTTTAAACTGGAGCACCAGCAAAAGAAATTCAGAGCTCCGGCCTGGGATCTGAATGTAAATCTACGTCATCTTACGAGTGATGCCTACAAACCTCTAGACCAGACTACCTTCGAGCTGCTGACACAGAAGACTCTGTTCCTGCTTGCGCTAGCCACAGCAGCTCGAATATCAGAGATACATGCGCTGGACTTTGGTCGAACCAGATTCGACACGGGGCAACATGCTGCAGTTCATCTAGGACTTAGATGGGACTTCATTGCCAAGAACCAACTACCTGATCAACCAGATAGACAGTTCCACGTACCAGTTCTATCCACAATCTTCGGACCAGAGGATATAGAGGACTTATCCTTGTGTCCGGTCAGACTTACTGACTGAGTTTGGTTTTATCCGCTTTTAGCAATATTCCAGCAACATCACGGCGGGGGACACCAGAAAATGAGCTTCACACATTGTACCCATGTGGGGATTTGAACCCGGGTCTTCAGCGTGACGAGCCAACGCTTTAACCATTAGGCTACCACACCGCCCCATGTCCGGTCAGAGCCCTGAAGATATATCTTCAAAAGACTAAGACAAGGAGACGAAAATTCAAGCGCCTGTTCATCCCATTATCTACAGAGACATCAGCAGAAGTCTCAAGAACGACAATATCGTTCTGGATGAGAGCCTTCATATTGAGAACCTATAAAGCAGCAGGACTAGTACCTCCTAGGGCTTCCAACCCACACGAAGTCAGAGCACTGGCGTCAACATTGGCTCTGCACGGAAATTGCTCTATATCAACAATTATGGAGGGCTGCTTTTGGAAGTCGGATACAGTGTTTGCCAACCACTACCTCCGAGACATAGCCACTGAAGACGTCTCAGGCATTCACCAAATTGGGCCTCTCGTTGTAGCACAGCAAATAACGGTTCCACAAAGGCACTGAGTTGGAAAATCTCACCCTTTATCACGTTGACTTGTTGATAACTTTTACTAAGGAAAAGTATTAGTTTGAAAGTCCATGCGCACAGTCTAGGACAGACTAGTATGAGTGATTAAAGACCCTGTACGGGTAAAGATCTTACCTGTACATGAAGGGGTCGCAACTCATTTATGATAAAGATCTTATCATAATCTATGGGTTGTTATAAGATATCTAGTAATAAGAAGATACTAGTATATCTGAAGCCACATGAATCAACATGATTCAACTTCTCTGAG